CCACACGTGAATGTAGACCCACAGCCATGAAGCTGATTCTTAACTGCCCTCTGAATTGGCTGAGTAAGGCACTCCTTTCAAGGAAAATTAGAGACGAGCAAAAAAGCTGGATATGTTAGCGAGGCCCACATGCCATAAACTGTCACCATCATTTTCACATTCTCCCTCCCTTTGTCTCCTCACTACATTAAACCTCCCAGGAACAGCAGACTCCTAGCACCATACCCGACTGATCAGATTTGACGCGTGCTTACACAGCAATCGTAACCAAGATGGGGCATACCTCAACCGAGCGTCAGAATTGACTAGCTGTCTCACGCACTGATGGTCCCATCAGCAATCAATAGAAAGGGCGTAGGAGCAGCAAATTGGACTGGTCATTGTAACCATCTAATCCACAATGTCACCATGCCTGAACACGTCTCTCAATCTACATCCTGGGGGTTATCAGCATTGCAAAGGGCTCATTCCCTGCACTTAGTGGCAGGATTAACAACAACATCAAGGTTAGGTCTGAGAGAACAGAGTTCAGCAAGTTCTGAGGTTGACAGGCGACAGTGAGTGAGGGGAGCAGAAAAATTAAGGAGTCTCATCAACAAGTAAGAAGCCAGAGGGAGGGGACCAGGTGAAAGGTGAGAAGAGAATATAGGTCAAAGCGTCTGTGGAGAGGCCTCCTGTGCAAAGAGCTGGACACAGAGGTGAATGCAATGGGAGAAGATGTTCAACAACATTCCATAGTGATGTTTATTGAGGTAAAAGATGAAAAGGAATAAATTGGAGTCCCTGAATCCTTCAGGAAATAACTCACTTCCTGACTCCCCGAAGCCCGGCCACCATCTACAAGGCACAAGTCAGGAGTGTGATGGAATACTCCCCACTTGCCTGGATGGGTACAGCTCCAACAACACTCAAGAAGCTTAGAATCACATCCACAAACATTCACTCCCTCCATCACTGACGCTCAGTAGCAACAGTGTGTACTGTCTGCAAACTGCACTGCAGAAATTCATCAAAGATGCTGAGACTGCACTTCCAAACCCATGACCACTTCCATCTAGAAAGACAAGGGCGACAGATACATGGGAACACCAGCCCCTGCAAGTTCTCCTCCAAGCCACTCACCATTCTGACTGGGAACTATATTGCCATTACAGTATGTATAGTGAAACACAGAAAATAGGAGCAGCAGTAGGCCATTCAGCCCTTCAAAACTGCTCCACCATTCAATATATTTATAGCTGTTCATCCAACTCAGCACTCTGTTCCTGCTTTCTCCCCATATCCATTGATCTTTTTAGCCCCAAGATCTTTACGTAGAAGGTGCAGTGACCATAGTCCTCCCAGACCACAGTGCTGTCTCTCATTAAGACAGAGAGAGACAACTGATGGTGGTTTAACCTGAGGGTCACTATGCCTCATGTGAAGGGAGAGGTTGAGAAGGAGTGTTCCTCACAGTAATAAAAAAAACTGAAAGAACTGTGGATGCTGAAAATCAGAAACAAAAACAGATATAGCTGGAGAAACTCAGCAGGTCTGGCAGCATCTATGGAGAGAAAGCTGATTTAATGTTTTGGGTCCAGTGACCCTACTTCCGAACTTCAGTTCATCACATTTGAAGGGAATTCCACAGACACACCACTGTGGGTGAAGAAATTTGGTCCTAGAGATCTACAACACAGAAAAAGGCCCTTTAGCCCATCATGTCCATACTGGTGAAAAATAACCATCTCACAATTCTAATCTCATTTTCCAGCACTTGGCCCAGAGCCTTGTATGCCTTGGCATCACAAGTGCACATCTAAATATTTCTTCAATGTGATGAGGGTTTCTGCCTCTACTACCCTTACAGGTAGTGAGTTCCAGATTCCCACCACCCTTTGACTGAAAAAGATTTTCCTCACATTTCCTTGAAACCTTCTTGCTTCTTCTCTTAAAACTATGTCCCCGAGTCATTGATCCCTCCATCATTTCTTCGTGACCACTCTATATATGCCCCTCATAATTTTATACATTTCAACTACGCCCCTTCTCAATCTCCTCTGCAGGAAGATAAGTTACCCTAGTCTGTCCAATCTCTCTTCATAACTGAAACTGTCCAGTCCAGGCACATCCTGGTAAATCTCCTCTGCACCCTCTCCTGTGCTATCAGATCTCTCCTATAGTGTGAGTTCTAGGATTGTACACAGTACTGTAGCTGTGGCCTAACCTAGGTTTTATACACTTCAAGCATCACCTCCCTTCTCTTATAATTGGCCTTGCCTTGGCTAATAAATACGTTTATCATATGCCTTCTTGACCACTTTATCCACCTGTCCTGATAACTTATGGGACCAATTTACATCCATACCAAAGTCCCTCTGATCTTCAGTCTTTCCCAGGTTTCTTACCATTCATCGAGTATTTCCTTGTCTTGTTTGTCCTGCCTCAGTGCATCATCTCACATTTCTCCTCATCTCAGTCTGAAATGGCCTACTCCGTATCCTTAGACTGTGACCCCCCGGTTCTGGTCTCCCCCACCATTTGGGAACATCCTTCCTGCGTTTACACTGTCTAATCCTGTTAGAATTGTACAGGTTTCTTATCAAATCCCCCCCCTCCTTCTTCTAAACTCCACTGAATATAATCCTAACTGACCCAGTCTCTCTCCACAACTAAATGTGTAGTAGATACTCTCTGTTTCCCTAAGACGCCTACTCTATGAGTGACCTTCCTCAAAGGGAGACGGGGATTTACCTCTGCTCCAGGAACAGGTCATCCGAGCTACCGCCATCTTGGTCCTCCAGTATCCCAGCAAGCAGCGGGGAGGACGGAAACTTCCTCACGGAGCATGCGCAGATACCGCCGCGGGTGAGACGGGACTTCAAATTCACGATTCGAGATGGTGATTTACTCCAATGGATGACATTTAGGAGAGATCTGGGAAGAGGTACTAAGTGAAGTGGAATCAGGGACGGTTTCCCCTCGATCAAGGCGGGACTACAACTCCCAGGGGGTCCCGCGGCGTGTAGTCGGAGCCCCGGATATTCCATTCCCCACAGTCGTCTGGGTGATACCGGAAGCCTATTCTGGATTGGCTGGATACGCTGTCAATCATACGTCAAGCTTCCGGTTGGTGTGCTGGGCCTTGACAGGGCGCCTGCGTAAAGCGGCCTGGTCAACGTGACCGGGTTAAGTCAGTTAGTGTAACTAGGTGAGCGGTAACTAGGGACTTGAGGGAGGATGGAAGAGGGGGAGCTGAGTCCCCAGCTGGAGTTACACGAAGGCGAGGAGATTGTGGAAGTGATCGAATTGAATCCTAACCAACAGCCGCAGGAGGAGGGTAAACATATAGAGGGGGCGGGTAATGTATAGGGGACGGGGTGAACGTATAGAGGGGCGGGGAGATGTATAGGGGAGGGGGTGAACGTATAGA